TCATGAAAACAGACAAGAACCACTTTCAGATGTCATTTAATTATTATTTCCATGATAATAAATGACTTAGGATTTAGCAATATTCTACCAAGTCCAGAAAACAAGAACCAGAACAGAGTTATCCACTGTCACAGATTCCCCACACCGCAAAGTAGAGGCATTGATGTTTTAGTGAATCTTTGTAATTGACCAGTTTATCAACCACACTTTGTGGAAATGTATTCATTTTCTGCAGCCATAATGAAAGAGTGATTTTCCCTATTTCTTTTCCCTGGTAGTATTTTTGAGACTAAGCCATGGAATTCCATTTGAAATCACCCAAAAGTAAACAAACAGAAAAAACGCCCTGAGAAACTTACTACACATGCTCAGGGAAAGAAAAGAGGTAAATAAGAATTTTTAATAAATGGAATCTAAAACTAGATACTTAATTTTACAAATAATCTTCTTTGCCTCTTTGGAAATATTTCATCTTTCAAGCTCTATTGATACAATACACTTTATATTTAATAAAAAACAGCCTTGAATAAATAAATCTTTTCAAGGTGACAAACCCAGGAGGGTTGGTGCTAACTGGAACACAGACACATCTGACTCAAGTATCAAGTCATGTCATCCAGTCACCTGGGACACCTTCCCACCGCCATCCTGCTCACCGAAGTACCTGACCACACTCTCCAGAGATACAGGACTATGCCCTGCCCAAAGTGCATGTTTTAGGTTCTGGCACCACCTCATTGGGATGGTTTTTCTATCTTCACTAATTTGAGTGTTGCCAAACCTACAAAGAGATCCACCTGGGTCCTGTCCCTCACCACACAAAGCCAATTATTGAGACAATTGAGAGCCAATTAATCAGAACTGCCAAGAAAGGAATCTTAATGCGAAAGATGTGTCAGGAGAATGGGAGAAATAGTCTCAAATCCATCTCACTGACTAAGGGGCAAGGGCTTTTATAGTGGGTTGTAGAACGCAGGTCGAGTTGTGTGGGGTTTTAAGTCATGGCATCTTCAGGTGGTCTGATTTAAAAATCAGCTATTGGTGATGAATAGTTAGTCCTGTGGAAAGTCCAGTCTGGTTGTTAGGCTTGACTGGTAAAGTCTGAGGGAACAAAAACATAGCAACTTAGGGAGGGGGTCATTTTGAATATTGATTACAAGAAAATCCAGAGGGCAAAAATCACTGTCTTGTCCCCTCAACACCAGCTTACGACTGGCTGACCACCAGTGTGTCACCAAGAATGGAAATGGGTTGGGGAAGAAAGTCTTAATGTCCCAAGGGATTAGCATTTTAGATAAAGGGTAAACCTGGAGATTCCTCCCAGCCCCAGGGCATCCAGCTGCTCCCCTGGGAGATCCCACCCCCACACCACAGGCTGTCCTGTTGGAGGAGTGACCCAGGGGCTGACATTCATTCACTAAACCCTCCAAGAGACTTGATAGTTGTGGTCACCTTGGGTCAGCCCCAGGCAGTTCTGGAACCCCAGACTAGGAAATGATAGAGGGTGAGCTAAGGGACACATCATCCTGTGAAGTTTCCAAAGGGGAACCTCAACCCAAAGACATTCTGAGAAGATGTCTGCGCCAAGGAAAGATAAAAGGAGCACAAAGGTCTTTTCCTGCAGTGTCTCATGCACTTACTCTCTGCTTTCCTCGTGTGAAATGTTCAGAAACAGAAAAAAAATATTTTTAAAAGAGCCATCTGTTGCTCTGTGGAAAAATGATAATTAAAACACTGCTTCTGTTTGAAATGAACAATAAAGGACAAATAGTTAATAATGTGAACTGGAGAGGTAAATTTGGTGCTTGGGAATGTACAGGAGGTATTGGAAATTTAAGATTTTGCTGCAAGCCCTGGAAGAGGTAGGCTGGGGGAACAGAGTCCTGGATTTGAGACCCTGATTCCCATACATCTGGAAAATGAAAGGAAACCAGCAGCCCTGGGGAGTGTTAAAATAATTAAATAGGAGGCAATTAGACTGAAGTGGTGGCTGTAGTGCCCTGAGTTCCTACCCAAGGAAACCAAAATCTAATTAAATATATCTCTTGTAAATTATTAATTTAGAAGAAAATGAGACTTAGGCTTAACCAACTACAAAATGCCAATTAGCCTCTGACTACATAACCAGAAAATTTCTACCTGGATAGACCTATCAGAAAATGGAGAAACTGAATTTTTATTTAAAAGCAGCCTAAGATGGCTGCAGGTTGGACATACAAGATAATAGACACTAGGCTTCAGAACTAAAGCTAGGCTGGGGCAGTGGCGCATGCCTATAATCCTAGCACCTGAGAGGCCAAGGTGGGAGGATCACTTGAGCTCAGGAGTTCGAGACCAGCCTAAGCAAGAGCAAAACCCCGTCTCTACAAAAATTAGAAAAAAATAGCCAGATGTTGTGGTGAATGCCTGTAGTCTCAGGTACTTGGGAGGCTGAGGCAGGAGAATCGCTTGAGCCCAGGAGTTGGAGGCTGCGGTGAGCTATGATGATGCCACTGTACTCCAGGCTGGGCAACAGAGTGAGACTCTGTCTCAAAAACAAAAAAAACCCAAAAACAAAACAAACCAAAAAACTGTTAAGTTTGTTCCAGATGGGAACCCAAAAAGTGTAAAACAATAGCCACAGAAGTCTGGAGAATCCCCAGACATTGTAAATCTAACAGACAGCTGCAGCCAGCATTCCTTTCCCTCCCTGATAGAGAGGAAGTTTACTCCTGGCTCTCTCTCCTGATAAGGACGACGCTGGGGCTAAAGGATGGATGTGGCTGGGGCAGGGGTCCTAGGAGCTGGTTGTTTTTTGTTTTTTTTTTTGAGACAGAGTCTCACTCTTTTGCCCGGGGTAGAGTGCCATAGCATCAGCCTAGCTCACAGCAACCTCAAACTCCTGGGCTCAAGCGATCCTACTGTCTCAGCCTCCCGAATAGCTGGGACTACAGGCATGTGCCACCATGCCCGGCTAATTTTTTCTATATATTTTTAGTTGTCCGATTAATTTCTTTCTATTTTTAGTAGAGACGGGGTCTCGCTCTTGCTCAGGCTGGTTTCTTGCTCAGGCTGGTTTCGAACTCCTGAGCTCAAACAATCCGCCCGCCTCGGCCTCCCACAGTGCTAGGACTACAGGCGTGAGCCACCGCGCCCGGCCTCGTTGTTTGAAAAAGAATTTATTACAAGCAGCTGTTCTGGCACACTTACTTACTCCCCCCCACCCCCACCCCAAGAAACCCTCTATAAAAGCCAAGGCTCTCCCCTTTTCTCTCGTGGACGCTTTTTCAGCCTCCACCCAGATGCTCAAAATAAACAGCTCATTGTGCTGCACCTGAGGCTTCGTGTAGCTCTCTATCGGCTCCAGACCTAACAAAAACCACTAAAGCTGAATTCACAGGCTGCAAGAAGACTGGAGTTTGTCAGATATATTTCACTGACATGTATTGATTTCAACCTCGCCTATCAGATGAAGCACAAAACCAGGGTAAAATCAATCATCCCTCCCCAAACCCTAAGACACCCCTGTAGTCATTAACCAGTTACTCCATGTACATTAACCATACAGGTATTTGCTTTATCTTACGCATAATATCACTGAGCACCAGAGTTACAAGAATGTCACCTTGGCTTCACTGCCCCCTTCTCTTTCCTCCTCCCATTTTTCTATGTAACAAGACGTACAAATAGGGTGCCTCACTCATGTACCCCACTTCGGGACTCATTCTCAGTTGGCGCTGAGTCTGCATCCCTGGGCTATAGTCCTCACATTTGGCTCGGAATACAATTAACTTTAAATTCCTTTAAGTTTATAATGCCTGTTATTTTAGCCTTGCAGTGGACAGATCAAATGAGTTCGCAATAATAACTAACAAACCAAGTATTTAACTTGGTTTCCGTCCTCGTGCACCTTATAAAAAAGCCTTTCCAGCGGGCATGGTGGCTCATGCCTGTAATGCAAGAACTTTGGGAAGCTGAAGCGGGAGGATCACTTGAGGCAAGGAATTGGAGACCAGCCGAAGCAACATGGAGAGACCCAGTCTCTACAAAAACAAATTAACTGCCGTGGTGGTGCGCACCTGTAATCCCAGCTACTCGGGAGGCTGAGGCAGGAGGATCACTGGAGCCCGGCAGTTGGAGGCTGCAGTGAGCTATGATGATGCCACTGCACTCCAGCCTGGGGGAGAGAGTGAGACTCTGTCAATCAATCAATCAATAAACAAACCTTTCCCTCAAGCCCTACTCATGGGCCCCCAAACCACAAACCATGGCTGAGTTATTCCCGGTTCAAAAATCGATGTTTGCAAAAGAACAAAATCACTCTTTAAAATTTTAACGGTGCCTCAGTTTAATTTTTACATGAGAAAGATGGGACGAGGAACCCCCACACACCACAGCCCCTCCCACTGCACGAATCCCACACACCCAGCGGGAAAATGACAATTAAAATACTGCGCTGGTTGAAATGCACCACGGAGGACAAACAATTGATAGTGACGGTGTGAACTGGAGAGAGGAAGCTGGCATTTGGGAATGCGGGAGGGATCTGGAAATTTAGAGATTTATGGTCAGCCCTAGGAAAATCTAGACTGGAGGACGCAGGATCATGGTTTGAGACCTTCCTTGCCATGATGTGGAAAAATCAGGGGAAAATGGGTCCAGGTAGGGAATGGGGACCCCTACAGACCGCAGCCCCGTCCACGCACGACCCCCACACACCGAGTTGAGACCCTCCCCCGATGACCCTCCCGCCGTCACAGCACAATCTGGGGACACGCGGGGCTGCGGCCTCGGGGTTGTCCAGAAAGGGCTCTGGGGCCGAGGTCGCCGCGCAGGGACGGGAAAGGACGCCCGGGGGCCCGGCTGCCGGCCCACCCACAGCGCACTGGCCGGAGGGACCGAGGGCCGAACTGCCCCAGCGGCAACGCGGGAGCGGACTGCGGGGAGCCCCGGGTCCTGCCACAGCCCGTTCCAACCAGCCCCTCCTCCCGCGTCTCGGAAAACTAGTCCCGTACACTCACCATTTCTCGGCCTCCGGGGTGGTTCGGCGTCCTCCCTGAGGCTTCCGCAGCCAGAAGCCGAGGTGGAGCGACGTCTCCCGTCAGAGCAGCAGAGACCGGAAGCTGACTGGAGAGCGCGGAAGAGTCAAAAGCCGCAGAGGATTGTGGGGCTTCGCCCCGCTTTTTTCCAGGGGCGCACCTGATTGGACAGTTTGAGCGCCCGCCCCATCGCCCCGATTGGATAGTGCTCTAGGCCCCGCCCCGAGGCCCGGAAGGGCAGGAGAAGCGATGAAATAGGTTCCTGTATGGCGTCTTCCTATACTCGGTGGGCCCTTCCTGTTTCTGCCTCCTGGACAGAGGGTCACAGGTGTGTGTAGGGAATTCCACATTAGGTGTTCAATGGAACAATCCCCTTGCCTTAGAGCCGGAAGGGCGCTCAGTCTAGCTACAGCAGGCCACAATGGAACAGGAGGGAGGGCTCGATGTCTTTAAGGGCTCAGGAATTTGGGCTAGGATATTGGCAGCCTTACCAAGGTTTTCTCACACCTTATCGCTCAGTCTATTCATTTTTCAGCCAAGAAATAACAACACGCCAAGAAAGGAACAAAAATCATTAAATGCATGGAGAGTTATATAGCAGCCATATTCTATAAAGAAATCAAAAGGGAAGAACAGAAAACATTTGAACTAAGATAAGCAAACTTCTTCACCTACAATTCACAAAGAAACCCCCATTCACAAGCTTAAACACATTTCAAGCCTGGCAGCCAGACTCTGACTGCTGAAATGGAGCCCCAGAGTAGATCAGTCCCTTGTGATGAGGCAGGGAAACCTAAAGATTTAACACTGGGGGCTCAACGTACCCACCTGTCCCTCTGCACAGAGAGGAAACGCTCCCTCCTTTGGGACCTCCCACCTAGAATCAGTTTAAGATTTTGACCTAAATAAACTGTCAAATTCCTAAACCCTTTCTGAAGGAAACAAGTCAAACATTTTTTTCTCTGACCCTGACTTTCAGACTTTCTTAATTTATGCAAATTAGTCTGACTGCAGTGACCCTATGCATGCCCAAACCTAGACACTGTACAGAATATGGCCCCAGAGTACAACCTCAGAAAGCACAGAACTGCCCCCACAACCGCATATGCACATAGGTCCCCTGCTGTCCAGTACTCTGCAGCTTCTCAAAGTCCACACTCCTACTGTGTCCTGAGCAGCTGGAGGCCCCTGCAGGGAGGCCAGGCTGCCTGGGAATCCCGAGGGGAGCCCCATGCCCTCCCTTTGCGGGCTCCAGACTGGCCTCAGTGTGGAGCCGCTGGCCTCAGTGCTGCCCACTGCAGGGTGTTCACCTGCTTCTCACCGTCACTGATCAGTTAAATGGGAAAAAGACCCTCAATCTCAGTGTTTGAATAACACCAGCAGGGCCCTGCTTTCCTCCTTTGTATTGCATAAAGTAGATGAAGAAATGTCTAAAATAATTTATATACATTAAAAGACTGGAAAATAATTATTCCTTTGAGAAAATAAATTGGCAAAAAAAAGCCAATTGAGAACTTTAAACTAAATTTGTTGTAATTTTGTCCTTAGACAGTTGTCACCAGGTACTCTGTGCCTGGGGATGTAGATGTCCTGTTGACCCATCTGAATCTCTCTCAACCCCACCTCACCACCACTGCCCCAACCAATCATTTCTGTAGCTAAATCCTAAGCATTGCGTAAAGCAATCTAAATGGTCCCGGGGTGAATCCACCCATGGCTCTCTCATGTCCCTCAATTTATTCATTTGAAGCCATCTCATCCTGGATAGACTACGATATCTTGAGGACCACATCCATTGTGTTTGCTTCTGTTTTCCTTATGTCACCACCTGCTCGTTGAGGGCACACAAGTAAAATTCTAAACTGGCCCATCACCTGCTGTAAATACTGGAGGTGTTTGCACAACTCTGAGAAATTCACAACCCATAGAGGGTGTGTGGATGTTAATGACGCCCTCACCATAAAAGAGAGCTACGCTGACTTCCCTTTTCTGGAAAATGGCTCAGAGCAGTTTTCTGGAGGACTTTTTTTTTTTAATAGGGGATAACACTTGATAAAAGTAAAAGCAACAGTATTCAATTTGGTTTCATTTATATGATTTGACTTTTCATAGGTTGTTAAGAAAGCAATAAAGTTTGTAAACCTTGATTGGATTTCCCTAATTCTGAAAAGGTCACTGAAAAAAATCTACACTTGGAAATAAATAGGAATAACTGAGGTGAGAAGAAGGGGACTTGCTGAGGAGGTGCTATGTGGGATGAGACCCGAAGTAATGTGTTAGTATAAAGTGTCATAGCAGAGGATTCAGGAAAGATGGCAGAGTAGGAAGCATGAGAAATCCGTCTCCCTGCCTAGACAACAACTGCGCTGGCAGAGTCTGTCTGATGTAGTTATTTTGGAACTCTGGATCTACTGAAACCTTGCAATTCCCAGGGAAAGGATTGTATGGTAAATTGTGGTTAATTTCAGTCAAATTCAACTCTTAGCACAGTAGCAGCTACCCATCCTTCACTCCCAGCTCCATGGCAGACAGGTGTGCATCAGCACCAGCAAGAGCTTACACGCAGCTTGTGGGAGGCAGAGTTAGCCAAAAGGACCCTGTACTCTATACATCGGGGGTCTGTGGTCTGCATACTAATTGCTGCTTCTGATTACAGAGGTGCAGACAAATTAGGCAAGAAAAAGAAATAAAAGGCACCCAAATTGGAAAGAAAGAAGAAAAATTATCCCTTTTACAGATTGTATTATATTAAATGTAGAAAACCCTAAAGACTCCACATGGGAAAAAGAAAACCTTAGAGGTAATAAATGGATTCAGCAATGTTGCTGGATACAAAATCAACACACAAAAATCAGTTGCATTTTTATATCCTAACAACGGATAATCTGAAAAGCAAATTAATGAAACAATTTCATTTACAAAAGCATCAGAAAGTGTAAAACATAGCAATAAATTTAACCAAGAGGCCTACAGCTTATACACTGAAAACTATGAAATATTGCTGAAACAAACTAATCGACATGTAAATAAATGGCAAGACCTAACTATTGTTAAGAGACAATACCACCCAAATCAATCTACACACACAATGCGATCCCTGTCAACATACTAATAGTCTTTTTTACAGGAATAGAAAAATGATCCTAAAATTCACTTGGAATCTACTTGGATCACTTGAGGTCAGGAGTTCGAGACCAGCCTGAGCAAGAGCAAAACCTAATATCATAACAATTTTGAAAAAGAACAAAATTGGGGCCGGGTGCGGTGGCTCGCGCCTGTAATCCTAGCACTCTGGGAGGCCGAGGCGGGCGGATTGTTTAAGCTCAGGAGTTCGAGACCAGCCTGAGCAAGAGCGAGACCCCGTCTCTACTAAAAATAGAAAGAAATTAAATAGACAACTAAAAATATATAGAAAAAATTAGTCAGGCATGGTGGCGCATACCTGTAGTCCCAGCTGCTCGGGAGGAGGCAGGAGGATTGCTTGAGCCTAGGAGTTTGAGGTTGCTGTGAGCTAAGCTGACGCCATGGCACTCTACTCAGGGCAGTAGAGTGAGACTCTGTCTCAAAAAAAAAAAAAAAAATTGGAAGACTCATACTTCCTGATCTTAATACTATAAAACTATGGTAATAAAAAAACACATGGTACTGTCATAAGAACAGACATATAGCCCAATGGAATAGAATAGAGAGCCTAGAAAGAAATGCTCACATGCATGGTCAAATGATTTTTGACAACAGTGCTGTGATTATTCAATGTACAAAGGGCCGTCTTTCAACATATGTTGTTAGGAAAACTGGATATCTAGATTCAAAAGAATGAGGTTGTACCCTTACCTTACGTAATATACAAAATTGAACTTATATTGGATCAAAGGCCTAAACTTAAAAACTACAACTATAAAAGACTTAGTAAAAAACATAGGGGGAAATTTCATGACATTGTGTTTGCTAATGATTTCTTAGATATGACATCTAAAATACAGGCAAAGAAAAATAGATAAAATGAACTATAAAAAAATTTAAAACTTTTCTGCACCAAAGGACACTTCCAAGTAAATGAAAAGACAACATATAGAAGGATAGAACATATTTTCAAATCACATATCTCACAAGGGATTTATATCCAAAATGTATAAGAAATTCCTACAGGCTGGGCATGGTGGCTCACACCTGTAATCCTAGAACTTTTTTGGAAGGCCAAGGAGGGAGGACATCTTGAGCCCAGGAGTTTGAGCAGCTGGAGCAAGAGACCCCATCTCTACAAAAAATACAAAAGTTAGCCACGTGTAGTGGCACACAACTGTAGTCCCAGCTACTTGGGAGGCTTAGGCAGGAGGCTTGCTTGAGCTCAGGAGTTTGAGGTTGCAATGAGCTATGATGATTCCACTGTACTCTAGCCCAGGAGACACCGTAAGACCCTGTCTCAAAACAAATAAACAAAAAACTCCTACAAATCAGCAACAAAACAAACCAAAAAGACCCAACTGAAAAATCAGCAAAGGATTCGAAAACACAACTATACAAAATATATAAATGGCCAATAAGCACATGAAACGATGCTCACTATTGGTCATTAAGGAAATACAAATCAAAACCATAGTGAGATACCAGTTCACACCCATTAGAGTGATTATTATTTAAAAAAAAAAAAAAGGCTGGTCCCTGTGGCTCATGCCTGTAATCCCAACACTTTGGGAGGCTGAGGTGGGAAGATTGCTTGAGGCCAGGAGTTCCAGACTAGTCTGAGCAACAAAGTGAGACCCTTTTCCTAAAAAGAAAAAAATTCGCTGGGTATGGTAGTACACACCTGTAGTCCCAGCTAACTGGGAGGCTGAGGTGGGAGGATTGATTGAGCATAGGAGTTTGAGTTTATAGTAAGCTATGATTATGTCACTGGTTGACGGAGTAAGACCCTGTGTTAAAAAAAAAAACAAAACAGAACAGAACCAGTGTTGGTGAGGATCAAAGAAATTGAAATCCTTGTGTGTTGCTAGGAAGAATATAAAACATTGTAGCTACTGTGAAAAACGGGATGGCTATTCCTGAAAAAGTTGAGCATAGAATTATCCTGTGACCCAGCAATTCCACTCCTAGGTATATATCCAAAAGAATGTTAAGCAAAGCAGAGACTCACATGGGCACATAAACACCAATTTTACAGCAGCATTATTCACAGTAGTCAGAAGATTTTTATGGAAACAACACAAGTGCTCACCAACATACGGATGGACAAAGTATGGTTTATCCATACAATGAAATATTATTTAGGCATTAAAAAAATGAATTACTGGCTGGGCACAGTGGCTCACGCCTGTAATCCTAGCACTCTGGGAGGATGAGGTAGGAGGATTGCTTGAGCTCAGGAGTTCAAGACCAGCCTAACCAAGGGTGAGACGCCATCTCTACAAAAAATGGAAAAATTAGCCAGGTATCATGTTGCATGCCTATAGTCCCAGCTACTCAGGAGGCTGAGGCAAGAAGATTGCTTGAACCCAGGAGTTTGAGGTTGCAGTGAGCTACGATGATGCCACTGCACTCTAGTCAGGGCAACACAGCAAGACCCTGTCTTCAAAAAGAAACAAACAAAAAACAAAAAATTACTGATATATGCTAACATATAGACGAACCTTGAAAATATAATGCTAAGTGAAATAAGCCAGACACAGTATGCTTCCACTTATGGGACATACCTATAACAGGCAAATTCATAGAGTGAGACAGTAGAATAGAGATTAATAGGGGCTGGGGAGGGGGAGAGTGAGGACTTGTTTAATGAGTATTGAGTTTCTGTTTGGGTTGATAAAAAATTCTGGAGATAGCTGTGATAACTACAACACTCTATAAATGTATTTAATGCTACTGAATGGCACACTTAAAAATAGATAAAATGGTAAACTTTGTGTTAGTATATTTTACTTTGGAAAAAATTAAAAACTAAAGAAAAGACATAATTTGAGCTACCAGAGCTGAAAACAACGTCTGGTATAAAAAAATATTCTGGGCGGAAAAAAAAGATCAGATATTGCAGGAAAAAAAGATGAATGAAACTTAAGACTTAGCAACAGAAAAGACATAACAATTTTTACTATTAATATACGTTCCTAACAGATTGTCAAAATATATGATGCAAAAACATGGACGTGCAAGATGACAGACAAATCCACAACTGTAAGTGAAGATTTCAACACTTCTTTCTCAATAATTGAAAAGTCCAATAGGCATAAAGTCAATAAACATATTGCTTTTTTATTTTAAAATACTTAGTTGAAAAAGACCGTCTATACTAAGGTGTACAATGTGATTCAAGGTGTATACATTGTATGAGTACATTGCATATTAACACATTAATGACCATTAATGACCACCTATGCTATACATTAAATCCCCAGAACTTTTCATCTTACAACTTAGTTTTTACCCTTTGACTATCATCTTCCCATTTCCCCCACCCTCTGCTCCGTGGTAACCACTTTTCCAAACTCTGCATCTATGAGTTCAACTTTTTTTTTAGAGACAGAGTATCACTGTCTCCCTGAGGCTGGAGTCGAGTGGCACCACCATAGCTCACTGTTACTGAATTCCACTGTTTGAGATTTCACATATAAGGGAGATCGTGCAGTATTTGTCTTTCTGTGTCTGTCTTATTTCACTTATAATCTTGTCTACCAGGCTCATCTATGTTGTCACAAATGGCAGGATTTCCTTTTTTATGGCTGAGTAATATTCTGTTGTTTAAATATACACATTTTCTTTATTCATCCATTGATGGACACTTAGCTTGCTTCTATATCTTGCCTATTGTGAATAATGCTGCAATGAACACAGGGGTAGCAGATATCTCTTTGAGGTGCCTCTCTTTGAGGTGGGAGGATCACTTGAGCCGGGGAGTTGGAGGTTGCAGTGAGCTATGACGGTGTGACTGCACTCTACCCAGGGTGACAGAGTGAAACTCTGTCTTAAAAAAAAAAGAAAAGAAAAAGCCATTCCAGATGACTGACAGGTGGTCTCCCACCCACTCACCAACAGGCCAAGTCTTATCCCGTTGAAGAAAATGAAACACACTTCCATCCTCAGATAAAGTTACTAGGTGATCATGATGGATCAAAACAAAAAAAAAGTGATTCTCTAGTCATGTCTCTAAAAATCTAAAAGAAAACAGACTCCAAAATGACCAAAACCATCCTCCTCTAATATAACTGATGCTTCTTATGAGTAAGGTTTAGCTCTACTTTATTCTTTCTGCCTCCTAGATAAGAACCATTAGGATTTCCAAGGATAGAAAGAATTAAGTTCACCTCATAACATCCAATACATATCACTTTGTTCATTAGCAATGAAATCACCTAAAACAAACACAAGTCCTATAAGAAGTCCTTTTGAGCACCCTCCTATTGATAACCCATAGCCATTTATGCTTTGTGTTCATTTGTATTACAATCCATTACACCCCACTCTGACTACAGGTGTGATCCCGGAAAATCTTTGGCGAGGTGGCACTGACAAAAGCATGAATCATCTTTTTTTGGTTATTATGAAAAAATAAGAAATTAGTTTCATGACACAAATTGTGACCATTTCAAAATAAATAATAATTACAAAGGGATATTTTAATATATCTTCTCAAGTAATGGGAAATACAATACTATTTGTTAGCATACAAGTTGTTAGAAAAGAGCTAATAAAATATTTCTAAGAAATACCTGCACAATCTTTTGTTTGACAAAAAAAATGCACACTGTTTTTATCATATACAAACATAACTGAGAATGTACTGTGACATTACATTCATCTGTGACTAACTGGAAACTCACAATTTGTCTGATCCTTGCTCTCACATGGAAAGACTCAGAGCAGTCACCGCACAATGCAGCACAGGAACCACCACCCACGTGGCTCTTTGTGACTGCACCATTGTAGCTGTCTTAGTAGAATCAGGAAAACAGTCATTACCAGTATTAACAGGACAAGGTGTTTATTACACAAATTAGACCATACAGGAATACAATGTAGAGAAGAGGTGAATCAGAGAAAAAGACAATACCCCCAACCATGAGTTTGAATTAGTTGCCTGGTAGACAAATGAGGGCTTGCAGGAAATCCAAATTGCAAAAGGATCTTTTGACATGGAGCTTCTGGAGACATCTGTGGAATCCTACTCCTCTGAGAAAAGAGAAATCAAGTATATGGGATGTTCTGAAGAAACTCTTTATTGGCAGGGAAACCTATCAGGAAAACAGACAGGAAGCAGGTGTCCATGCAGTCTCTATGCATCTGTCTGCCTCCCTGTACGATGAGTCCAAAACCTGACTCATGACTTCTTCAGTTCTGCCTTCCAACTTTTATATAAGTTAGGCTATGGTGAATTGTAACAAGGAAAGAAAAAAAGAATGGATTCTAGAGAATTCAGTTCACAACACTATCCAAAGTGACATAATACAATCCAAGAGGGCCATCTCCAGTCTAGATTTTATTGTCCTATCAGAGATCTTACTTCTTAATTCAAAGTCTATCATCTCGAACTCAGCCAGAAAGAAATATAAAGAGCAAAGGGCAAGACAAACTTGACATGCTTACAAATTTATACCAACTATTTATTAGCAAAGAAAATGAAATAAGGCTCTTCTGGCCAAAAAGAAGAAAGGTTTTCTCATAAGAAAGGTGGAACACATATAAAAAATAAGGGACATCCAATACTTGGCATAGGATGCCAGTAGAAAACTCCCAATACGAAATTGTCATTTTCAATGGCCCCCTCCTTACACAGCTATTAAGAGAAAAATTTTATTAACTGACTTCAGGAAAAAGCACTATCTATAATACTTCTGCACTATTACTTAAAGAGTACTAACAGAATAATCCTAGTGGTTTTTTTTTATGAAAGTAAGAAGTAGAAATCCATAGTCCAGAGATCCACTTTAAGACTGTGGCACTGATAAGGCAGGCATGGCAGCATGCATGCTTATAGTCCCAGCTACTCAAGAGGCTGAGGCAGGAGGATCTCATGAGCTCAGGAGGCTAGCCTGGGCAACACAGTAAGACCTCATCTCAAAAAATAGGCAAATAAAAAAGAACATGACACTGATGAAGATAATACATTTATAATTTTACCACATTTCTTTCATGGCATGAATATTCTAGAGCATTATACATGAATTTACTTGTATTGGGATTTCCCATATTACTTACATTCGTACAACTTCTCTCCAATGTTAATTTTCATATGACTTTGAACACAGTCAAAATTGAAAAGCTTTCTGTATTTATTACATTTTAGCGTTTTTATTCAGTGTGCACTCTCCTCGCATGTTTTTGTAAGGATGCACGCCAACGGAAGGTTTTGCCACATTCCTGACATTTGTAAGGTTCATTTTGATTATGCATTCTCATGTGTACTTGAAAGGCTGTAAGAAAGCTGAAGGATTTTCTACATTCCCTACATTCATAGGGTTTCTCTCCAGTATGAATTCTTTCATGCATGTGAATATAACTGGAATGACTGAAGGCTTTACCACATTGTTTACATTCATAGGGTTTTTCTCCAGTGTGAGTTCTTTCATGTTTTTGAAAGGAACTGCAACAACTGAATGCTTTCCCACATTCCTTACATTTATAAGGCCCATCTCCTGTATGTGATATCATGTGTATTCGAACACTTGTAAGGTACATGAAGGCTTTCCCGCATTCCTTACACTTATAGGGTTTCTCTCCAGTGTGAGTTCTTTCGTGTGTTCGGAAACCTAGAGGAGAAATGTAGGTTTTCCCACATGTTTTACATTCATACTCTTTCTCTGCAGTGTGAGTCCTTTCATGTTTTTGAGCATAATAGCGACAACTGAAGGCTTCTCCACATTCCTTACATTTGTAGGGTTTATCTCCAGTATGAGTCCTTTCATGTGTTTTCATAGACTGGCTATATTTGAACACTTTTCCACATTTTTTGCACTCATAGAGTTTTTCTCCAGTGTGGGTACTTACATGTGCACGAAAGCCTAGAGGAGTCATGTAAATTTTTCCACATTGTTCACATTCATAGCGTTTCTGATCAGTGTGATTCCTTTCATGTTTTTGAGCAGTATGGTGATAACTGAAGGCTTTTCCACATTCCTTACATTTGTAGGGTTTCTCTCCAGTGTGAGTTTTTTCATGTCTTTGAGCAGAGTAGTGATACATGAATGCTTTTCCACATTTTTTACATTCATAGGGTTTTTCTCCAGTGTGGGTTCTTTCATGTGCTCGAAAACCTAGAGTGGACATGTAGGTTTTCCCACATTGTTTACATTCATAATATTTTTGTGAAGTGTGATTCCTTTCATGTTTTCGAACACTATGGCGATAACTGAAGGTTTTTCCACATTCTTTACATTTGTACGGTTTCTCTCCAGTATGAGATTTTTCATGTACTTGAGCAGATTGATGATGTCTGAATGCTTTTCCACATTTTTTACATTCATAGGGTTTCCCTCCAATATGAGTTCTTCCATGTATTTGTAAAGAATATCTACAACTGAAGGCTTTTCCACAGTCCTCACATTTGTAGGATATCTCTGCACTATGCGTTCTTTTATGTTTTTTAAAAGATTGCAGATAACTGAAGCCTTTCCCACATTCCTTACATTTATATGGCTTCTCTCCATATTCTTGACACTTATATGGTTTGTGTCTGCTATGAGATCTAATGTGCCTATTAAGGGATGAATTACAAATGAAGACTTTTCCACACACACTGCATTTATATGGCTTTACTCCTGTATGAGTTTTCTTGTTCAGACTGAGATTTGGAATCTGGCTGAAACTTTCTTCACATTGACTACCTTCTTTACTTTCATAGAGTTTCTCTACCACATGAATTCTGTAAAAAATAAGAAGTGCTTTATGTTTATTAAAGGTTTTCTATTTATTAATTGATACTAGAATGACTTTTTTCACATTCTGGGAAAGTATAGATTTTTCATCCTAAAATGCTTGTAAAGTGAATATATTGAATGTTCTGCAAGAGGTCTCAACCATAGTTATTATGAAAACAGTAATATTCATATATAGGTTGCTGAATACTATTTCCAAGTGAACTATTTTTCAAACACTGAACATCTGTGTCATATTTAAAAAAACACTTTTGAGGGCCGGGCGCGGTGGCTCACGCCTGTAATCCTAGCTCTCTGGGAGGCCGAGGTGGGTGGATTGTTTGAGCTCAGGAGTTCAAAATCAGCCTGAGCAAGAGCGAGACCCCGTCTCTACTAAAATTAGAAAGAAATTAATTGGACAACTAAAAATATATAGAAAAAATTAGCCGGGCATGGTGGCGCATGCCTGTAGTCCCAGCTACTCGGGAGGCTGAGGCAGGAGGATCGCTTGAGCCCAGGAGTTTGAGGTTGCTGTGAGCTAGGATGACGCCACAGCACTCTAGCCCAGGCAACACAGTGAGACTCTGTCTCAAAAAAAAAAAAAAAAACAAACACACTTTTGAGGCTGGGTGCGGTGGCTCATGCCTGTAATCCTAGCACTCTGGGAGACCAAGGTGGGAGGATCCCTTGAGCTCAGGAGCTCAAAACAAGCCTAAGCAAAAGCAAGACCCTGTCTCTACTAAAAATAGAAAAATTAGCCAGGTATGATGGCACATGCCTGTAGTCCCAGCCACTCAGGAGGCTGAGATAAGAGGATGGCTTGAGCCAAGAGTTTGAGGTTACAGTGAGCTACGATGATGCCACTGCACTCTATCCAGGAAAACAGAACAGGAAATCTTTCTCAAAAAAAAAAAAAACACTCTTGGTTAATGTCTTCTTAGATAAATTTAAGGCTAGGCTTACTTGTTTTGTATCCTTATTTATAAAATTTCAGGACATACTAAGATTTTCTCCTGGGATATGTTTTCTCTTGTCAGTATGACTTACCTGAGATTTCTCCCCTGTTTTTTGTACTGATCTTCAATGCTCTGGTCTTTCTGTTTTTTTCCTGAAATGCAGAACCAGAAAAATTGTAAGTTATTAGAAATTATAGAAAAACTATTTGATTCTATGTCCATGATGAGCTGTGATTTATTTACAAAAGTATTGCTTCTTCACATTCCAAATCTTGGAACAGCATTGATGACCAAGAAAAAGTTGTTCTCTAATTCAACAGAGAACATGATGGAATGACATCATTCTCACCTATTGACTGCAGGTTCCTGAAGGTTTCCCACATAACATCTCTGTAGAGTTTTTTCTGTGAAGGATCCAGCAAAGCCCACTCCTCTAGCGTGAAGTTCACAGCCACATCCTCAAAGGAGACTGAGTCCTGAAACATCCCACGTGTATAAAGGAAGATGAGTGAGACTGACAGCACTGGGGATCTATACTCAATTAATAAGATGTTCACTTATGATTCTGTGCTCTCCAAAGATTTATTCTATGAATTACTTGGAAGAACTCAACTATAACTCTTTGGCCACACTCGATTCCTCAGAACTATGAACACAAGGCAATTAATTCTACATCTTCACTGTGATCACTTCAAGTCTTATTGCTCTCCAATGGCAGGATCCACAGCACTTTGGAGAAGAGAAATACTACACCAAAAAAAAAATCTATTTTAATACCATCAATTCCTTGACAGAAAAACTCTTTCATCGTCTTCCTTATGCATGATATCACTCAACATTCCATGAGATACGACATTCCATGAGATATCAAATCTGGATAACATTTAAATGAATAAAAGCACACTAAAGAACCAGAAGCTTTTTCTACTATTCCCATCACCAAACATGAGGCCAGGAGGCATGGGGAAATCCAACTTGTAACAAAATTCAGCTGACCATACGGTCCTGAAATACTCTAGGATATTAGAGGTAGTCAGATCCAGCTAGTTCAATCAAAATATTTCTTTTGGAGAAGTATTCATTTTAACTTGTTCATATAATATTTATAAGACTCAGTTCTTCCTTTTTATTTCTGTTCCATTTCATGGAGCTATTAAGTTACTGGGAAGTTAGAGCTTAGGCATGAGGAAAAAGGCATGACAGCTTAAATTTTAAAAATCCCTCTACTTCTGTGCCTCAGGGCTACATCCCACTATTTTTTTTTTTTGAGACAAGAGTCTGGCTCTGTCCCCCAGCTCAAGTGCAGTGGCATCATCAACAACCTCACTGCAGCCTCAGACTCCTGGACTGAAGCAATCCTACTGCCTCAGCCTCCCAAGTAGCTGGGACTACAGGTGTACACCACCACACCCAGCTAGGTTTTCTATTTTTTGTAGAGATGGGATCTCACTCTTGCTCAGGCTGCACTCGAACTCCTGACCTCCAGTGATCCTCCCACCTCGGCCTCCCAGAGTTCTAGGATTACAGATGTGAGCCACTGCACCTGGTCCCACTAATTTTCAGTGTACATCCTCAGATAATAACATGCCAGAAGAGCTCTTTCCAACAGAACCATTACAGTGTACCCTGGGCCTTGCTGACCTTAAGGAACAGGTTAAGATTTCCAAGCTTACATGGGAATTCATTAAGGTTCACAATGATATGATGTGCCCATGATTATAAAATGTATAAAAGGTTCTCAGCAGAGGTTTCTCCCAAAAGAATATAAAAAACCCTTTCTCCATTTCAGAAGGAAGTGATTCCCAACCAACCACTTTAGAAAATAAGGATAAGAATTAAACTGGACTTCTATTCAGAAACCATGCAAACAAGGAGAGAGTAGAGTGAAATATGTAAAGTTTTGAAAGAAAAAGACACACCCACTTAGAAATCTGAATCAAGCAAAATTATCCCTCGAATGAGTGCATTATACTTTCTAAAGACAAAACTTGAGGGAATTTGGCACCAGTATACATGCCATGCAAGAAATGTTATACGAAATTCATAAGAAAGATAGTAAACAACAAGGAAAGATAGCACATTTGAGAAGGCATAAAGGAAGGTAAAATAATTTAATTCTTAATTAATGTGGTAGATAACAGTTTGTTCAAAATAATAATAGCTACAATGTATTTGCTAAGGAAAGCTTATGGATAAGTAAAATCAATGACAGTCCAGGACAAAAGGACAAAGCTGTAAAGACAATGCCTGACTCTTCCCAGCATATCCAGGAGGCACAGCTTGGCCAAGGAGAATTTTACGTTATATCCCCAGGTCTTACCATGGCCATTTGTTTACAGCCTAGAATCTAGTGGCTCTAAGACATAAGTCCACAGACAAGTCAAACAATTATTCAAAAAGTCACAGAAGACATGACACATAAAAACACAAAGATATACAGACACACAGGCCAAAGCAGCTTTTATAGATTTATAAGATTTTTTATTTGCCAGTTTTCAAATAGTTTCTCTCTCCTTTAGACTATCAATCTCTTGATAGTCTGTTTTGCTTTCCTAAACAATTGTTGCCAGACAAATCTAAATTTGCATTTTTAAAAAAATGACTCAGGTGAAACAAGGTAGAAAATTTAGATTTCAGTGTACAGAGAGGAAATTTAACTTTTTTTTTTTTTTTTAAGAAAAGGTTTGGGCTGGGTGAGGTGGCTCATGCCTGTAATCCTAGCATTCTGGGAGGCCAAGGCGGGCGGATTGCTCAAGGTCAGGAGTTCAAGACCAACCTGAGCAAGAGTGAGACCCCATCTCTACTAAAAATAGAAAAATTAGCCAGGCGTGGTGGCATGCACCTGTAATCCCAGCTACTCAGGCGGCTGAGGCAGGAGAATCACTTAAGCCCAGGAGTTTGAGGTTGCTGTGAGCTAGGCTGATGCCATGGCACTCTAGCCCAGGTGACAGAGCAAGAGGAAGGAAGGAAGAAAGGAAGGAAAGAAGGGAGGAAAGAAGGAAGGGAGGGAGGAAGGGTTTGGGTGTGTTAGAGGAAGGTTTAAAATGGATGTCAAAGTAACACAAAATCTTAGGAATTTACCATAGAATTTTATAAGGAGACACACAGATGAGTCTAGAAGAAATTTAGAAATTTTAATAAATAACCTGCTAAATGTCAGAATGTTATATTTTGGAGGCCAATCTAGCTAGGTAGATGGCTTTTGAATTTAGTGTGTTTTTAAACTGGCCCAACATGCTCAGGGTGGAGCTCACACTGAATTTCAGGTCCCCAAAAGGGAGATACCATGGGACTGGGCCATGCAATGTTTTTATAGTGTACTTTGTTATAAAGACATTTTTCTAAGTATTTGAACTGTGCCCCTTATCTAAATCCACAAAGAGCAGCCCTTACAGTAATAACTATGTACTGTAAACATCTGTCCCCAGCCAGTGTCCCACTGGCCACCACACACATAAGAGGTTTTTGTTTTTGTTTTTAATAGTACAGGTTGGATATCAGCCTTTAATTAAGCTGACTTCCAACCAGAGAGGTTTTTTTTAATTATTTAAAATTAATAATAAAATTAATAATAATCTCTTATTATTCAGATTTTAGCCAGGACAAACTGCTGGTATTTCTAGGTTTTGAATTTTTTTTTTATCAGAGGTACTCTCTTAAGTGAAAGCTAATCTTTGTCAAAGATACCTTCTTAAGTGAAACTAAGTCTTAACCACAGTTATGACTTAATCAAGGACATCTTTAAAGATGTGTAAGGTAGTCTTCACAAGATCTAGAACTACCCCAAAGAAAGCTCAAAGAGAAGAAAGTTTTGCTAGTCGCAAATAGAGTACAACCCATATTTCTATCCAGCCATATTTCTTAGGGTCTTGGCTTCTTAGCTAACCATCTATACACAAAGGCCCAAAAGCACCCATGCCCCACAGGTGGAAGAACACATGAAATCAAAAACTGTCCATGGAAGGAAAAAGAATTAATAAATGGCAAAAGTCATACAAATATCAAATAAAAAGGCCTGATTCAGAATCAAAGCCAGGTTACCACAGCGAAAGCACAAAATTTTAAGCAGCCTTCATGGTGAATCCCATGTGGAATCGAAAGTGGGCAGTTTGAGTGTACAAAGGATTTTAACTTTGTTTTAAGTCAGATTTTTGCTTTTTCCCCTTTTTTAAGTGAATTTTTAAAGCCTTAAAAATAGCCATGATACTATTATGTGTCTTTAAAAATTGGATCTATCAATTATTTAGAATAAGAGATTTCTAAAATCTCTATCTATATTTAAATTTAGGAGTCTAATTTAAAGGATCCATTTTCCTGGACATTGACAATTTGAATTTTTACTGGTGTATTTATTTCAGTAGTAACCGAATCTGAAAGTCTCTTTATGAAAAATTCAGGATGTAATTTTAGGGCCTAGGCCGGGCATGGTGGCTCACACCTGTAATCCTAGCATCTGGGAGGCCGAGGTGGGAGGATTACTAGAGCTCAAGAGTTCGAGACCAACCTGAGCAAGATCAAGACCCCGTCTCTACTTTGAAAAAAAAGAAAAAAGTAATTTTAGGGCCTACAAAGAGCAATTTCAAAGATATTCTCACACTCCTGGAAATAGGCTAAGATAGCAAAAGACTCTTGTTGCCACTACATTAACCAGACAACAAGGGTTGAGACAACAAAAGCCCCCTATGAACAGTACTTTTTAATGACAAATATCCTCAAGGGCTTGTTATATTTGGAACAAAACAATCTCAGGTTCCCAGTCATTTTCAGACTGGTCACCTGATGTAACACAAAAAAATCACAGCACCACCCCCCCGCCACTCTAGATGGTGGAGCCCAAGAGAGCATTCCCACTCAGTCACAAGTCAAGCTCTCAAGAACATACAGTAAGATGGCAGGGGATTTTATCTGGTATTCCTCTTTATGATAGGGCCATACAGAAAGACAAAGCAAAGAAAAAGACAATTTCTGGGAGGAAGGGGACAAACAGTGATTTTTACTGTCTGCTCAACCAGATCTCACAGAAAAGGAAGGAGGCTGGGAGCCCAACTAGTAGGAAATTCTCATCCTTTGTCAGAAGATCAGGTTCCTGGGTTTCCTTTATTATGGCTTCCAGAAGGACAGAGCCTTTGATCACCCTGTTCACTGCTTATAAAAGGAAACTTAAAAAAAATTTCTTATCGGCCAAGACAAAATTATAATACACGTGTAAGAAAGACACAAAAATGCCAGTTACTCTGCTCAGTATCTGAGTTTTAACCTGACAAAACAGATGAAATTGTTCCCCTCCAACCTGAGAGTCAGGCCCACTAAGCTTCTGCCAGCAATTTTTTCAGGGTTCCTCACACAAATATGACAAGACAAAGGACACAATTCCTCTCAAATCAGAATTTTAAAACCAAAAACGAAGTTTTAAGCAAATCAAATGCAGTTGTTCAAGGTCATAGTCCCTCTAGCAGCTATCCCCTACCAAACCAGGTGTTCTGATGAAGTGGTAGCAGAGTCTAGTGCCCTGGCAAAGCAGACCTAAAGTCCTGTTGAGGCAGAATGAAGGTTCTAAAGGGATAATACCTTAGTATTGTCATACACAAATCCATTATTTACCTCAGATATCTTTTAAGCCAAGTACCTGTTTCTGAGGTTGTGAGATGAAAACACCATGGGTCAATGATACCTGGTCAGTTGCCAAACACTTAGATCCATCCCTGAGTAAAAATTGCTCAGGCAGCTGCTGGACAGGTCCTTCAGGTGGCTGTGGCCAGGAGCCAATGTGCCAGGAGCAAGACAGCCACTTGGGATTTTTGTCCCATCTGGGGTGCCAATAAATTGCTACCAAATCAAACTGGGGTTTTGCTCACCCAGTGCAGTAAAGCCAGACGCTGAAGCTGCAGTGGAAAAAAGCAGCTTTATTGCAGGGCACCATGTAAGGAATACAGGTAG